GTAATAAGGAAAGGCCTCTTTAATATTTCTGTCTTTACTCTGCCCTCAAGAGTACCTGGAGAAAGCAAAACTCAAAGCTACAGCAAACTCACAAAAACTTTAGAAAATGCTTAGAGTTGTGGAAGAGCTATGGATACAAACCAAGAGGGACAAAATATGCTTTGAAAAAGAGCTCCATTTTTTCTAAGTAAATGGTAGCCTTCTGTATTCTGGACGCTTCCAGCTTTAATTCACCCAATAAGTCAGAACTACCTTTGCTTCAGGCAAATTCAATGAGATAGAAAATACTTCAAATCAAATGTCAGAAACATTCTACAAAACTTCATCTCAAGACTTTTAATTGCCTTTAGAAGCATCTGGATGATTCTGTAACATCTGGAGGATTATCTTAATTTAAGCCTACAGCATAGGCCAAAACCAGATTTTAAAGCAAAGATCTTCTGACAAAATACAGCACAGCCAGAGAAAATGGGGCTGAGCTAAGTGACACATAAAACAACAGGGAAATAGCCAAAGAAAATGGAACAGAAGTGAATAAGATTACGTGGTATCTGCCTTCTGCTGCCCGGTGGGCCTCATTCAGAGTAGGAAGCTTTGGGAAGCACTGTTAGATTGTAATAATAAAAATGTGGATTTGATGGCGCCGAGATGAGACAGTGCACATTTCTTTCCTTAAGATGCCCAGAAATTTATGTGCATGTTGTTGATTCTCGTTGGCTTCTTAAAAATGTTTTGCACTCAACAATGATAAGATAAATAGTACTTCCTTCTTTTAATGAGTGGATTTGTATTTATAGTTTAAAATAAAACAAAATCGGTTCAACTTCTGGATTAACTGTCATGTTTTGGGGTACCTTGGGGTTTATAGAGCTGTCTCCATACAACCCATTCATTCCTCCCAATAAGCCATGGAGAATCATCACCTCCTCCCGTGCCCAGAGGAGAAGCTGGCAGTGTCACTTGCCTCTGAGACTTCACTTCCTTAAATTTCATTTCTTTTTCCATTCACACTCAGTGAAATTTTCCCTGCGTCACTGAGGTAAGTAAAGCCAGATGTTTGTCCTGGGAACACTGGACAGGGGAACTTAAGACTAACCCTTCTCTTCTCTAGTCCATCCTGTTACTAGGTAGGTTTGCTATCAGTCTTTGAAGATCTGTGATTTTTTTTTTGTACCAGGAATTGAACTCAGGACCTTGTGCTTGGCAGGTAGGCACTGTGCCAATGAGCTAGCAATCCCCAGCCTCTGCGGGGACTTTTTTTTTTCAGTTTTTAAACCACAGCCCACTAAAATGAAATACACATGGTAGTTAATATACCGCCTCCTACGCTATCCACTGTGTCAAACTGTGGAAATCCATGGACTTTGCCATTATTGCTTTTTATTGTGCACTAATTACATAAAACCTTGCCTTCATTCATCAGAGATGCCTTTTTTAAACCACCAAATTAATATTTGACCAGGTTTCCTAGCTTGCAGGTTCTCCCAAAGGAAAGGAGACCTTTCTCAGAGAGGACACCAAGTCCTTCCATTTGGAGCCTTCCGTATTCAGTTACCCATGGGTTAGATTCCATCTGGATTTGCCAGGACAGCAGAATAAACCAAAAGGCCTCAAGGAGGTGACCCCAGGTCCCTCTCTGTCTCTCCAGTTTGTCTAAAGTTTCTCTCCTTTCTCCGGGGTGAAGTCACCTTCCTTTAGCCCATTCTCTGCCGTGAGCTGTAGCTGCGGCAACACAGGACAGACCCAGCAGCATTGCTGGAGTAAGGCACAGACTTCTGCATTCTCCCCAGAACTTCTCCAGCACCACCAACGGACGACCCCAACCAGCGGGAGCCGAAGTGCTCCAGTGACCGATCTCCCCGCTGACAGTTCTCTGTGCTGTGTGCAGGTTACCTAACCCACCTTTAAGACAGCAGTGGTCTACACAGCTCGTATCCCACCCCCACCTCACCTCCTCCCTCTCCCACACAGCTGCTACCCATAATCTCTTACACAAACTGCCTGCTCACAATCCTTTTTAGGCTCTGCTTTTTGGGGTACCCACTTACATGGACAGAGATAGTCTCCTTCATCTTAAGCAAAGCCTTTAGAAAATGAAGCGTCCATGGTTATTTCTAGAAGAAGTTGAATGTTATCATTGAAAAGCTCATTAAATCTCCAGTACCCATTAAGATGGACTGGTCAATATTTGTTTTTAATACAGGTCACCTTCCCCAGGCCTTCAGGATGGGATTTAATTATGATCTTTATAGTAATTATAATCTTTACGCAGTGGGTGGGACCATGGCCTTAAAGGACTTAAAAATCAGTACCACTGTGTTGCTACTTCTTGACCTGGACAACAACGGCAATTTGTGAGCTCCAATGGGAGAACCTGATGGGGTCCGAGGGCTCCCAGCCTAATGATTTCGTTTCAGCAGTTGAACTGGAATGAGGTGTTCAAGACCACACTGATGTTTAAAGGAAAAGCAGGTCCAGAGCCAGATCTCTAGATTTTCTACTCCCTAAATAAAAATGGAAAGACAAGGCCCTGATAAGTGTACTACAGACTTTGGGCCTCTGTACTCGCTGTGGCCTTCTCCCAGAATGCTCTTGAATACTGGTTTCTAGCGTCAGCTCACCTGCCGACCCCTCAGAAGCCGTCCCTGTCCACGGGAGGGTTGGGAGGCCCATCCCTCCCGCTCCTGTGACGTCATGGCACTTTCCATAACCTGACAGTATTTGGCTCATTTATTTAGTTATGTGTGTTTGCGAGTCCACTCTCCACCCTCTCTGCTGTATTCCAGCATCTTTCTTACCGTGAGGGCTCAGCATCTGGATGGGGGAGATGGTAGCTATCTCGTATGTTCTACCATAAACATCACTTTTGTTTGTGGCAACATGACTGCCGCTCTTGAGGACACAGACCATTGGAAAAGAGTCCAGCGTTCTGATTAGCTGAACCCCTAGATTAACTCTTCTGAATCTCTGGCACAGCTTAAGGTCCCGGAGTGCTGAGTTTGATACTGTGGGTTAATCACTCGTGGGCCACAATGTCTCTCCTGAGAGGCCCCACCCAGACTCAAGGAATCCTTCTGTGTCATCAGGACACACAAGGAGACAAAGAAGAGGAATGAAGGAGTAAATTTTCTTCATCTTCCCCCGTGGCCTACTTTGAGTCCAAGTATGTTGAGTGCAGTGAGCCTGAAAGCCATGAGATTTTAAAAGAGTCCCAGTGCCCAGCTCCAGAGCTTAGTGGGTGGAAAGGAGAAGGAGCCACGTGTGGTTCAGATTTGCTTATCAGAAGAGGGGACCAGGTCACTGCCAGTGAGGAACAGCAACTGTGCCTCACAGATCACACACCTTGTGCTACACATTCCCAGAAACCTTCAGTACGGTGTCAGATGAGAATGCGATCTAGCCAGAGAGAGCTAGACACATACATAGACAGCACAGTCATGGTGCATCCTTGGCAAATGCTTTTTAGGCACTTCTAACCTGACGGCACCGCATAGCCTTTTGTGTTTACTGACACATAAGGTCGCCCTCACACTCTTGCTTGGAGCTGTGATAGTTTGCAGGAGAAATTCTATAATTCCATGTATAAAATGCAGTGGAGTACGTTGGTTCAATAGTGTTCAGGATAGGCAATTTCAACATGGAAGGCAGTTTTTATTTGCAAAGTAATCGTAAGGGGAGTGTTCCTTCATCTATGCTATAGGTACCAATAGCCCTAATTAGCCTTGAGTTTTGATTGGTAAAGTAAAACATTATGAAGATGTCTATGTATTCACCTAAGGAGGACTGGATGGGCAGCCCAGGAGCAGATGGTCAAGTGTCTAAAAATGAAGGCAGGGCCCCCAGGTGCCCTCAACTGTGTACCCAGGATGAATAAAACCCACCTGGAAGAATAAGGTGCAGTGAGCCTGCGTGAGAACTGAATTTTATAAGTAATTACTGCAGTCTTTGAGCTCTCTGAGTTACTGATCAGCATTCCCCCAAACCTATTTTTCCCATTCCCTTCTATTTTTTAAGACTGGGTTGCTTTTTATCAATATGTACAAGGATTAAGAAAACATATTCACTGTCCTTAAATGTTCTTATACTTACATCTAATGACCCTCCATTGGAAATTGCCTAATAAACCATTGTACAGTACAGAAATAGTGTGAACTATGGTGAGTGCCTTCTGTGGATATCAGAAACCAGAGAAAAGATCAAGCCCTAACATGTTGGACTTGGTGGGATTTCCAGGGTGTGCATTTTCTCTATTATAGTTTTGTATGGGCCACGCGTTAATGTCAGATGAGAACTTGGACCATCTTAACCTTGTAGCAGGATTTTATACAGAAGGGACTCATTCTCCATGTTTATACGGCTGGGGCTCCTTGCCGCATCCAAAATATTGCTCGTTATTAATGTCCTCAGTTGAAACTCTTTATAATGAGATGTTTTCATAAATGTATAAAGTGGAGCAGTATACCATTTTATGGTATTATCTGGTTACAGATCTACTGAAAATAACTTAGTACAGTTTGTCCTCAGTGAAGTTTAGTGACTAATCCTGACCCTGTGCCATCGATCCCCAGCAGCAGAAGAGAGTAAACTGCAGCACAGCTGTATTCTACGTAACGTCAGCCTTTAATAGGTATAATATTAACCATAGGAATCATGGCTTCATATTTTAGTACCTGCTATAATAATACCACAATTAACCCCAGAGCAGAAAGCAGCTTCAGCTCTAAGCTTGGGAATTACCTAACCCGTGGCCTTGGCCAAGTCACAAAGCTCTTGGTGTCTTGCAGTCCTCATTTATTGGGAGGGAGAGAGATTGATCATTCAGTTCAATGAATCCAAGGTCCAATCTGTCTCTGGCCTGTCAGAGAGCTTAGATTTATTGAATACCTAGAATGAGAACATTTTCTTGACTTTCTGTTGGACTCATTTTCTGTGTGTTTTCCTTCTGTATTTCCAAATGATACTTTGCTCTCACTGATTTTCAAATCAATTTGATAACTTACCAAATAAATTTTCAGAGAGGGAAAACTCATCCATGGCCGGTAAGTGGGAGTGTTCGATGAGATTCATTCTTGTTCCAGGTAAACTTTTCAGTTTGAGAATGCGCTTCTGCTAGGATGGTATTCAAATAAAAACCCTGCAATGAAAATAAATAGAATACATGACGACAGGGTAGGTAGGGGAGTTGGTTAAAAGGGGTAGAGGAGGAGGGAACAAGCTGATTTACAGAAGTACAAAATGGCTCTTTGGTAGACATTTTCCAGGGCCTCTGTGCTTGTCCCTTTTCTCAGTATTTATCATGTTTTCCACTTACTTGGATTTTAAAAGTCTAAATTTCAGAAGAGATAACTCTAATTTATCTGAGAAAACACCGTATGTTTTCACTTAAATTCCAGCACTTGGGGAATATAGATAAGATCAAATGACATTTGGGGTATGTCTATTTCTTTTATCTATAAAAAAATCAGAAACAAATATAGAGGCATTGATTTAAACTGGGATAAACCTTTGCTTTATTGTCTTAAATTTCATCAGAAAGTTGAGAAGGTCTGTGTAAATACATGATGATTTAAAGAGACTTCCTGTTGGATTTTCTCTTGACTGTGCGTTATATCAACAGATGAAAAATTCAACAAATGTTCTCCCAAGATCTTCATTTCTGCCTTGTAGGAAATACTCAACGGTTTGCATTTTAAAAGTCTCGTCTTCCCTGGTTGCCCACTGGTCTAGGATTAAAAGACATGATAGTAGAAAAAAAAAAGAGTCCTAAGTCTCACCAAAATACCTGTGTTTCATCCTGAAAATTTTCCAGGATAAATTCAAGATAAGCAGAGTTCACTTCGAGCTATATGCCTGGGTCTTTTTTTCCTTTCTTTTTCCATGATGTTTTCTACTTGCTTAAGAAGTAATTTGAAAGGCTGAATAATAAGAAGGGGTGTTATCAGAGCCTCTTTCCCCAAGCTGTTTCATGTAGATGATTTCTAAATCTTTTAATCTTGTCTTCACTAAGATACCATTTGTTTGCAAATAAATATTGATATTTGTCACCCAGACAGAGGATATCAAGATTTTGTTGGACAAATATTTATGTCATTCAAGTTTACTGGGAATTTGTTTCTATTCCTCCCTCACTCGCCAAACGTGGCAGCTCAAGTATAAATGAGCTGCTGCTGCTGAAATAATTCACCAGCAACCAGTTTGCTTCATTCACGCCTAGTGACACTTCCAACAAATGTTTATTGATCGACTGTTCTACAGTAAACCTTGTGCTAGCACTTTGCAGACAAAATGGTGAAGGAAAAAGGTACCCGTGACTCATAATGTCAGGCTTGATGAGGGAAGCAAGTATTAAAAAACAATCCACACTCAAATGGTTACCTGTGCTCATGAAAGATGTTTATTAGGACAGAAAGCAGGGTGCTTGTTACAGGTGCATCTAGAACTATTTCCCCCAAGCTCTGTGCTGGGGCTCAATGGCCCATTGATGGGGTCTTAGAGGGTGATTGGACCCTAGGCTCCAACTTCATCAGTGGGTTAGTCATTGATCGATTCATAATTGGGTGCATTATTGGGAATCGATGAAACCTTAGTGGGGGCCTTAGTTAAAGGGAGCCGCCACCGAGGTGCGGCCCTGGGGACTGCTCTGGGCCTTCCTCTCCGGCTCTTTCCGCCGCTCCCTCTTTGGCTCCTGGTTACCAGGAGGTGAGCAAGCCACACCTCTGCCCCCTTCTGCAGTGGTATTTCTGCACTGTGCCAGGCCCAAGAGCCGTGGAGCCTGCCGGCCACGGGCTGCTCCGAGAGCTGAAGTGACTCTGCTCCTTTGGGTTGCTTTTGTCAGGTGTTTGGTCACCAGCACAGAAAACTGCCGAGCACGGAGCTCTCACAGGGAGGCCTGGCGTGAGCAGGTGGGGACTCAGCGGATGCAGACGCAGCTGAAGGATGATGTGGTTTCCAGGGCAACTCTTTCCCGCCACATCAGATTTTATTGGCACATTTTACAGATACGTAACGATCACATTCACCACAGGGAATCGGTACCTGTACATGACATAACTGGGTTCTTTTTTTTTTCCATTCTCTTCTCCTCCCTTCAATTTACAAAAGCTTTTTCTCCATTTTTCCTTCTTCTTTCATCTTTTTATACTTTTTCCTTCCTTTCTTCCTTCTCCCCCTTTTTTTCCTTTTGAACATTTTCTCCCTAGTTTGCAATACCGATTACACCTTTCAGTTCAAGGCAATCTTTAAAAGTGAGCAATGCTAGAACACAGCCCAAGACCCTAGAGAAGGAAGTGCAAGTGTCCCGGCAAGGGACACAGCTGTCCCCGAGGGCACGCAGACACGGCCGGGTCCCTCCTCCGACTCTGACCTTGTTAGGTTCCGCTTGTGTTTTCTTTTTCCCCGCATCTATGATTCTTCTAAGCACCGGGTTCGGGAGGTTTCCCAGGTGACTCTGAGCCGCTGGCTTCAGGAGGTCCTCTCAGCCTCCGAGCAGCGGGGTGCAGGTGTGAGCCGCGGCAGGCAGCAGCGTCCACTGTTGCTACCTGAAGCAACACTCGCGCCCTCCGCTTCTCCCATAGTCTGTCATTACAGCCCTCTAACATGGTCTCGGAATATTCATCTCCATTTTGGATTCCTGTAACATACTTTCCTGCGTATGTTCATGTACACTTGGCACCTTGAATCTGAGTGCCTGGCACATAACAGCTCCTTACTTACTTATCTGTATCTATTGTTTTCTTGCTTGGTTCTGTCAAATTCTGTGACACTTGCCAGGCTCTCTCCGGCAAAGTGACATGAGGATTTCATTCTCCTTCTGGCACAAGTTGGAGGGAGTAACTTTTCACTTGCTCGCACAAATGAAAGTTCAAGTCTCCTAATTCTGCACCATTTGGGTGATTATCCATGGCTGAAGACCCACCAGGTCGGGTACAACCGAGCTCTCTAGAGCCAAGCAGCAGAGCCCACTCGAGTCAGGTTCGGATTCACAATTCCTGAAGCGGCTTTTAAGAAAATGAAGGGCCAGGGACATAGCTCAGTGGCATAAGTGCCTGCCTGGCAAGCGCAAGGTCCCGAGTACAATTCCCAGTACCAACAAAATAAAATAAAAATAAAAAAGGAAACTCATTTTTGGCAACATAAGTACCTGGTGTTTTGGTCTGTTTTGTGTTTGCTGTAACAAATTCCTGAGGCTGGGTAATTCCTCATGGTCTGGTGGCAGGAACATGACACTGGGACCCTGGGACAGGCATCACAAGGCAGAGAAATGGACCGGGTGGCACAGACAGGAGGGACCAATTGCACAGACTGGCCACGCTTGGTAACAACCAGCTCCACTTTGCTGACCAGCATCAATCCCTTCTGAGCATGGGACCCCACGTGACCCATTCACCTTCCACCAGCGCCCCCCTAATGGCTCGGCCAGCTCTCAGCACTGACACACTGGGAAACCACGCTTCCTGCACATGAACCCACGGAAGACACACTCACATCACACCCAACACCAGCACAGGGCATGTAGGGCAAACTGTGCCCTGCAAAGGAAGTCTTTCCAGCTCAGTCACCAAACCCTTATCAAAATACAATTACAATGACCAATTTCTTGTGTATTCTTCCAATACCATGCTTACTTCTTAGGATAAAGGAACTTTAAACACTATTGAAAAGCCAGAGTCTGGCAAACTGTTACCTGCAGGCCAAAATGCCCTGGTGCCTGGTTTTTTATACTGTGTGGGCATAGAATGGTTTTGCGTTTTCAAATGGCTGCAAACATCAAAAGAATATTCCCTGACATACCAAATTTAAAACTCAGCATCCACGAAGAAAGCTTTACTGGCACAGCACGACCATCTTTTTTTTTTTTTTTTTCTTAGTGTCAGGAATTGAACTCCTAACCTCGAGTTTGCCAAGCAGGCACTTACACCACTGAGCTAAACCCCCAGCGCCCTCACCCATTATTTTTAATGGAATGTCCTTGACTGCCTTCTCCCTACAGTTGGCAGAGCTCAGCAGCTGAAACACAAGATGCCTGCCCCATAAAACTAAAAGTATTTAGTCCTTAGCCTTTTGCAGAAAAACTATGTTGATCCCTGCCTTATTCAAGGATGCAAAAGAACCAAAGTAACATGATAAGTAAACAATCAACACAGGCAACGATTTCTGCAAGGATAAATCTGCTTAACTATAGACACTTCATAAAGGCAGAGTCTTCTTTATCTGCGACACAGCTTCTTTTGGGGTTCAGTAGCTTGAGCCTATCTGCCAAGTATCTCCCATACTACCCAGGTTCACAAACGCTGCTGTTCACAAACAACTCGGTTCTCAAACAAAAGCGCTCAACAAAGTTTGCTTGTGTTCACAAACTCCACACTGGGTGGCACACAACCACGGCCCTCTTTCTCCACGCAAACCCAAACACACTCCTCTTCCTCAAAGGCGTAAGACAAATTAAGTTTGGGAATCAAGTTACCACTGTGCGTTATTTTTTTAATCAGGGTTCTTGCTGTACCCTTTCTCCAGTGCTCTCGCCCTCTTACTGGGCCAAGAACTGTAACAGGAAAGTATTTGTAGGAAACCCCAGACCTTAAACCCGGAGTCTCCCCGCCTTTAAATCACCCATTCCATAAAAAGAGGTGTGTATGGCTTACAGGTAAGCAGTGCTTATTCAAACACTGAAGGCCTTTAGCTCGCTGTGTTCATTTTACTCCTTAAAACAAGTTTTTAAAATAGTGTGCTCCTTCAACACATTTTTTGGGTTGACTTCTAAAGTTTTTCACCAAACACTAAAACAGTCGCTACAGACGTAATTTCCGACATGTTATAAAAAGTGACATTTTTACATGTGCTGCGTCCATTAGCAGCAGTTAAATCTGAATACCACAGCGCTTTAATAGTCTTCCCCATCCTCTTAAGGAATACACAGAGATGTTTTTAAACAGCTGGAAACTTTTTAAATCATTCCCGTTCCTCCTGTGTGCGCTGTTCACTCCCCTTCACCGCAGAATTTTACCCTAACATAGCACAGTTCTGGGCTTGAGAGTCCTTTACTGATCATCCTGCAGTCATTTTCTACCACTGAAATATGTATGTAAATTTGAGCTTTTTAAAAAATTTTAATGACCGTAAGATTTACACAGGTTT